AATCTTTTTTAATATACTGGTATAAAGTAGAAAATGGAGTATCTCTGAAGAGAGATTCCTAATTTTTTATCTTTGGGGCACCAGGTAAAGACTCTTTAGTCTATAAATATTTTAGCTTTTTACTTTTTATAATATTGGCACTCTTTAAATCTTTGAATTTTGCCTACCTAAAAGGAAATACCCTTTAAGATATGCCTGCTCAAATCCTCCTTAGATATCCAAAATATCCTTAGATAGCCAGAAATATTCGCTCTGCCTTTGTCAAATAATTTTGAAAAGGGTTTAATTATTCTTGCCTCATAAATATTTTATTATTTTCAATTTTTTTAATTTTTAATTTTTACTCCAACATTTTAATTTTTATATACTGTTTTTATATTTTGATGTTTTATTATACACCACTCACAGTCCTTCTTTGAGGGAGAGGGCAGTTCAGAAATGTGAAATATAAATAAAAATTTACTCTGGTAACTAATATATTGAATTAATTAATCTTGCTTTGAGTGAGAAAAAAATGGCATGGATAACAACATGTACACTTCCATTTATAAATTAATACAGAAAAGTATGCACTATATTTTAATATAGTATAATCTAAATTGGCCCTTTTTTGTGTTATGATATGCAGGAAAATATAAGAAGAATTTTTTTAAAGACTTATCTAGATCTCTACAGAACCAGGCACAGTAAGGAGCAAGGGGAACAAGTGAATGAATGTGTACCTATGATTTAGGTACTTACATCCAAGTTTATGGCATTGCAGTGCCATTTTTCATAGTTGTACTTGGTAACAGTTGCTTATGTCTGATTGATTGACAAGGAGGTTTAAATAGTAATCCAATTTAATCAACATGGTTTAATTCAGTTCAGGATTCTGGTTTGAGTTATGCAACTTTGCTTTACATTTTTCCTACCATAAAGTACAAGAGAGGGACATCTGGGACATTACATAAGACGACATAGAAGGCAACAGTAAGAAAATTAGAAAAATATTGTTCCTTCTCTATTATTTCAGCAGATTGCATTCCGCCGATACAAAGATCCCTATTCAGCATGCCTCCTTTATAAACCAAGGCCTCATTCCACAAAACTTGTACAAAATTTCAAATGTGCGTTCTTGGATAAATTTGGAAAACGGGTTTTTCCTTTCATTTCTGCTGAATGGAAAGAAGCATAGGCTAAACTAAATGATCACTTATCTGCCTACCTCCATGGGGGGAAAGCTGAATTGGAGGGACACCTTGTTCTCAATTGTCAAACAAAGCTGCAATGTCAACAAGATGTAGGAGATGCTGGCCATCATTAAATCTGCAAAGGAAACCTGGTACCCTGTGTGTTAATTACAGTAATTCAAGAGTTTCAGGAATAAAGTCACTTCTTTTTCTTTCAGCTGTTAATTGATTCAAGTTTCTGTTCCAAGTCCTTAAACTGTGTTGCAGTCTACTAGAAAAAAAAAAAAAGGCTAATGCTGCTGCCTGCATTTCCTAACATATGTTTGTGATTGCAAAACATGAAGGCTGCCTGTTTTTCTTTCCTCTCTTGCGTTAGTTGTCCCTATAATAATAGAAATATGCTGTAAAGCTGCAGAACACGACTGTAGTAACATTTCCCATCCCTGCTGTCAAGAGCAATATAAGATATTTCAGCCAACCATTAGCTCTTCATTCATGGGACTCTGGGTTGAGACTTGAAGTTTGAGTAGATAATGAAGTTCAGATGTTATGATGTCTCAACGAAAGAGAGAATTGTCTGATGGCACCAATATGATCAGAGCATACAAATATACAGTATCTGATGTAGGAGCTGGAGATAAAAGACTCAAGAGAAAACTTTTTAGTTCCTTTCTGGAAGGAAATAAGCCTTTGTATCTATTAATCTCCATACATTAAGGGTTATCTCAAGAAAATTCACGATACTCTGTAAAACCCACATAGTGCTTTGAATATGTATTGTATACAAAAGTGTACTTTTGTACAATACAAAATAATAAAACTGACTTACAGAATAAGTGTTGGAAGAGACTCACTGGAGGTTTTCTAGTCCAACTCAAGCAGGAAACCCTATACCACTTCAGACAATTGGTGGTCCAATCTCTTCTTAAATCTCTTCCTGGTAAAACTCTTTCTTGTCATATTCCAGATTCCAGTGTGTAATTCATTTGTTCATAATGAATGCATTCATGCATATACAATGTGCGCATATAAATCATTTGTGACTCTGGCTTACGAGTTAGTCCAAAAGCAATCATTGCTATACATTATCATTTTATATAGTAATAAACCTTCCCCATACATCCTGATTGTCAGGCAATGTACTTGCATAATTATTGGTTGTTTTTTTTTAATTGGCATCATTTCCTGAGTAGTCTATTAGGTAACTGTGAAGCATGGCACCAGGAGATTTCTTCTTTATATAGCATGTACACAAAGGGCCTTGATCCATATTACCTTTGAATGCCTTTGATTGAAGTCCTTAGGGCTGACTCGTAAATGACTTTTTAACAGGGTAGAATTCTCATGTGATGAGCTTTATCATCTAATTATGCCTGTTTGTACAAAATAGTCCCCAAATGGAAAAAATCAAAAGTTAACAGCCAAAAATCTAGCTCCCAGCTATTTTCTCTAGCACATTATTTAATTTTTCTCATTGGAAACAATTTCAGATAGGAGTTCACAAACCACTTGAAATCCAGCTGATTATTATATACCTTCTGAAAAAATCTTCATTTGTTAATATTCAGAACTTTCACCAATATCGAGTGTTTTGTGCCCATTGGTTCCTAATATATGGAGCTTTGCATACAATTTTCTAAATTCAAGTAGCGTAGATAATGTCTTCTGAAATGCATATATACATTTCTTCACAAGTACATTTGAATGCAGAGGGATGAATACTTTATTCATTATTGCCTCATAGATCACATATTTCTTTTATATCCTTAACTCCATTCAGATGCCTCATAAAGATGTCCTGAACCAGCTTTAGAGTAAATATGTTGTTGTTGCCATGGCTTTTAGGTTTCTATGAGTAATTTTATGTCTGCATGGACAATACTTGTGATGCTAGGGTAAATATTTTTTTTTCCTACTAAAACCAATTAATGGAAAAAATGTCTTAGGGAAATCTTATATGGAAAAGCCATGGTTAGGTTTAAAAAAAAAACTATAAGAAAATAAAATGTGAATCTGAGGGTGGTCTGTCAACAGTTTCCATTGAGAAGCAGATTGATACAGTACTATAGTGACCTGTTGGACAACTCCATTCCCATTATTTAGTCCTTACATAGATCTCAGCTTTCCTCTGAAAAGCTGAAGACTGTTTATATGGAACCATCCCTCATTTAATCCTCTGATCAACTTTGTGCAATGGCTTGGACTGAAAGCTAATGACTGGCCCGAAATCCTTCAGTGAGACCCATACATAAGTTCAGGAACCTAAAGAGGCCACCAAAAACTAAGGCTAACAATATAATGGCTGTATCATTATGCATCACATTATACTGAAATTTATACCAAATTGGTAAATTATTATAGGGTGATTTTAATGCAACTCTCATCCTTTTTCTTGATAATGCTTAGATGGCCATTTTAATGTATATTGATATATACATTATATATATATACAATATATATATTAATAAATAGAATTGCACTGACTTCCCCTCTACAAAGTATTGCAGCTAGGGTAAATATTCACAGAAGCTTATAAATAGATTCGTGTCTTATGATGACCTGGATATCTCTATTATAATAGTCTATAGTGGTGAACTCCACATTTTTTACTACCGATTCTGTGGGCGTGGCTTGGTGGGCATGGTGTAGCTTGGTGGGCGTGGCTTGGTGGGCATGGCAGGGAAAGGATTCTACAAAATCTCCATTCCCGTCCCACTCCAGGGGAAGGGTACTTCCAGGACCACCTCCTACCGGGCTCCCACCGCCCAGTGCGCTCACATAGGACTGCCCTCCTCCAGGTGCCATCGACCAGACAATGTCGGCTGGCGGCCCCCAGGATGAGGGCGTTCTCTGTGGTCGCACCGACCCTCTGGAATGGGTTACCCACCGGGCTCCAGACGGCCCCCGACCTCCGCCCTTTCCACACCGACCTGAAGACATGGCTTTTTCAGCAAATTCCCTTATCTGCCGCGAGGTTTTAATTGTCTGGGGATTTTAAATTGGCTTGTTTTAGCATTTTTATTGTGTTGTTTTTATTCTGTGAGCCGCCCCGAGTCCTACGGGAGAAGGGCGGCATAAATAAATAAATAAATAAATAAATAAATAAATAAATAAATAAATAAATAAATAAATAAATAAAATCCCCATTCCCTCCCCACTCTTGGGGGAAGGATATTGCAAAATTGCCTTTCCCACCCCACTCTGGACCCAGCCAGAGATGGTATTTGCCAGCTTTCTGAACTACTCAAAATTTCCCCTACCAGTTCTCCGAACTGCTCAAAATTTCTGCTACCAGTTCTCCAGAACCTGTCAGAACCTGCTGAATTTCACCCCTGCTCTATAGGGAAATTGTAGATCAATATTGTGAGCATGATATGAACTTTATCCTGCAAGGTGCAAATGAAAGGAGTTGTTATTTCTCTACTCGTCATCCAGAGCTGTAGGAAAAGTCAAGATTTCTGCCTAAAAAATTATTAGAAGGTTGACGAGAAGCGAGAGGCTAATTTCTAGAGAAGAATACATTATCATATTCTCGTATATCATCATAATTATCAAAAGAAGAATTTAGACTTATCAGCAAGACAAGTAAATGCAAGATGAAATCTGTGAAGCACGCTGTCTAGAGAGATGAGAGTAGCTTGAAAAAAGAAATTGGATTAACCCTACATTATTTACAATGAAATTGTGTTTGAGAAATCACAGCACTATAGGATAGAATTCTGTAGTGACAGGCTGGGCTTCCTCCACTATCTATTTCATGATGCAAAATTAAGGAAAAAGAGAGAATTGCAGAAACATGTACCGACTCTTTCTTTCTTTCTTTTCCAGCACAAATCGAAGTGATACCATGCAAAATTTGTGGCGACAAGTCCTCTGGAATACACTATGGGGTCATCACCTGTGAAGGCTGCAAGGTATGCAATGTTTATATGTCTGTGTTGCCACTGCATTCTGTGGCAGCTTCTGGCCTATTTGGATTAAACGCAAATCATTTCAGCAACGATTTTCAAAACGGTACAAAAATTGTCAGCCATTCTCCATGATCTCAAGACTACACATGTGATTTTTCCAAAATGTTTGAGGACATGTACAATTAGCACAAAAGGAACACGTTCTCTGTAAATATAAAACAACCTCTCAACAAATATAAAGGCACACATCTCTTTAGCTCAAGTCTTGCTTCTAGCTCCTATTTCAAATGAGTGAGAAAAAATTATGACATTTGAATGAAAAAGACTTGAGTTCCCCTCTGTTTGGCTTAGTCAGGGGAAATAAAAACTGCCAGCACAGCAGGATGTTTCAGTTTGCCATACTTGCCACAGATTGCGGGGGGTTGGGGTGGGGGGAGCAAATGTGTTGAATATAAAATGGAACAGAAACATCTATTTAAGAAGGCTTTGCATAGTCTGTACATATTCTGAAATATCTCTCTATTGAACAGGATTTACTCCTTGTAAGCATTTGTAAGATTACAAAATTTTAGCAAAATTTTATTCACCTCTGAGTAATAACAGTTAAGATTGGAACATTACTTCACAAAGCTGAAAAAAATCCCTCCTTCATAATCAGATCATGCTGCTTCTTCCTTTCTTCTTTTTTTAAGGATATGAAGTTTTCTAGAAGTCTGAAGATATGGTTAATAAAAAGGAGTAGCTTCATCATTTTTATAGATTGTACAATTGAGCACTGCCAATCAAGAGGTTTTGGAGATATATCTTGACTGAAATCTGTTACTTTACAATGCTTCTCAAACTCGCTGTGTGGATTTCAACTCCATGCTGGCTAGGGAATTCTGGAAGTTGAAGTCCACACATCTTAAAAATCCAGTGGTTGAGAAACCCTTTTCTGTATGATATCATTAATTTCTCACTTTTGTATCCTGACAATCCCTCCAAAATCTTTAGAGCTTCTAGGGCCGTGATGATGAACCTATGGCATGTGTGCCAGAGGGAGCACGCCAAGCCCTCGCTGTGGGCACCTGCACCGTTGCCAGCTGCTCTTCCGGGTTCCATTGCATGCATGTGCGCTGTCCAGCATGCATACATGTGCTGGAACCTGGAAGAGAGCAGCTGGCCAGTGCGCATGCATGTGCACCGGCCACCTGCTCTCTTCCGGGTTCCGGCACTGTGGCACGCGTGCACATACGTGCACTCCAGTTTCGGCACTCAGAGCTGAAAAGGTTAGCCATAACTGTTCTAGGGGAAAGAGTTTAAAATTATTCTAATGTAACCTTTGCAACAACTGTGAGAGAAACTTTTAAGTTGAGAATGCAGATGGAATAGGCTTATTCAGACTATCGTACCTTAGTAGAGACTTGTGTTAAAGCACTAAGGCTAACATTCATTATAATCTCAACTTTATCCGGACCTGGCAAAATTTCAAAAATTATAATACATCCAGACACTAATTGCAAGGATGGTTCTGAGATGTTGCCTTAAATACAGAGATTTAGCTGTCTTTCTTTTTCTCCTCACTAGGGATTCTTCAGGAGGAGTCAGCAAAACAATGCCTCATATTCCTGCCCAAGGCAGAGAAACTGTTTAATTGACAGAACCAACAGAAATCGCTGCCAACACTGCCGACTGCAGAAGTGTCTTGCCCTGGGAATGTCTCGAGATGGTAAAGCCCTAGTTTTCTGATTCACGGATCAGTCTTTGGAACCGTTCTTCCTTGCAGTCTGTTTTCCCTTTCCCAAAGTAAAGGCATCTTTCTGTTCGGTGACATGGATCCCTGCTGTTTCCCAAACAGAAGGCTTTATAACTAGAGGAGTTATGATGTCAAACAGAGAGTAAAATTAATCCAAATACAAGATGTCACAATGGAAATTTGGAACAGAATTGCTGATAAGCATTAAGCTAAATTTGTCAACAACTATAATGGGATTTACCAGATCTTGGTTTAAATAGATTTGGAATACAGTGTTTGCTATTTTATGCATATGGCATTATGCATTTAACAGGTCCCTTCCCATGCCCCCCCCATTTGTCTATTAAACTGAGAGAATACTTTAATTTCAAAACACAAACATTGCTCACAGCAGGCCCAAGAGCAGCCTATGATGATGAAAGTTTTTTAACTCCCTAAACAATTTTTAAAAACTATTATTTAGGGTCCACAAAGTCCCTATGTGACTGAGATGGGCAGCTTAAATTTTTCATAGATAGTAGATGGTAGATGAGAGAGGTGGGGGAGGGGGAAAGAAGAATAAGGCCACCGAATCAAAAAAGACTCAAGGCAGCATATAGAATACTGTAAGGAAATGCAACTACAAACAAAATACTAGTGCACTGAGTAAATGCACAAAAAAGAAAATTTCAGCCACCAAACATAATCATTACAATTGATAATGTGAGCAAATATTTGTATTTGTCTGTGCATGTTTGAGGGACAAATGCTGGAAATATTATCAGTGAGATGGGCGGCATACAAATTTAATTAATAAATAAAAATATTTGTTTATTTCCTTCTGGTTTTTATGAAACAAAGGGTAAAGTAACATTACTAACTGGGATACAGAACATTTAGCAACTGGCAAATTTAAAGAGAAGAAAGTAAGCCTGGATTGGTTGCATTCTCTGCCCAGCACAGGCTGAGAATGATGGGCTGAAAGTGTTGTCAATCAGAAGCATTTTTCAGAACTCCTCAACCCTGATTGTAGTGGTGGGTTTCTACCGATTTGCTCTAGTTCGGGCAAACTGGTAGTGGCAATGGCAGGAGGCTCCGCCCACCCACCTGGACATCATCATGGATGCTCTGTGCATGCACATAGGTTCTCCGTTGTAGTGGAGACAGCATCCAGGGATGGGTTGTCCTCATCTATCAGCCAATTGGACTGAGTCTGTCAAAGCTGTGAGGACACACTTTCTGCCAATGGTCCCCAGCTTTTGACTCAGTCTTGGTCTGGAGAGACGTGGATTTTTTACCTCCATACAACCTATTCCTGGATAACTTCTTCACTACAATCAACATCTTTACAATATACATTTGACTTGTTGCACGCTCCCAGCCTCCACTGGTAGAGCTGTGGATTGCTACATGCAAGTGCTCACAGTTCTGAACCGGTAGCGAAGGTAAGTGGAACCCACTACTGCCTGCTTGGTATCATAATCAACTTGGACATTATGGAAGGAAGCAAAAGCAACTTTATGTGAGACCTCCTTGAAGAACATTCAAAAATGCAGCTGTTCCATAGTGCAGTAGTGCAAGCAGTAATGGACATTCCTCCATATGCCCAGGCAACTCCTCTTTTTTACAAGCTGTCCCAGTTGCCAATAAGATTATGGCCATAATTCAAGGTGCTGCTTATTATTTATAAAGCTCCATAGCATGTATGTGTTGACCTTTGAGTCAATCCATGCAGTTTTCTTAGCAAGATTTTTGCAAGTGTTTTGCCATTGTCTTCTTCCTAGAACTGAGAGGGGGACTGGCCTAAGATCACCTAGCTAGTTTGATGCCTAAGTCAGAACTAGAATTCAGTGTCCCACCTAGTGCCATAGGCCAAACTGATTTCTTGGTCTAGTGTAGCATTAGGATTAGTTATTTGAAGGACTGTTTATCTCCCATCCTGCCTATTCAGACAGAATCAGCATGTGCAGGTCCATCCATTTAACAATGTCATATGATGGAATCACCAAAGTGTGCTTTCTCTATCACAATATCTGTCATTTGGAGCACCATTCCCACAGAGATTTGAATAGTCCCAACCTTGATCTTTTTCAGACAGGCCTTAAAAACTCAGCTATTCCCCCAGTCCTTGGATTAGGGTGAAAGGAGGACTACTTTGTGAAGCTGGGTACACAAGGAAGATAGTGGGTTGCCTCTTCCTGGTTAACCATTTATTTTTCATTGATTAATTGCTTCCATAATTTGATTTTACTGTTGTTTACCAGAGTCAGTCTTTTACAAATATGGAGAAAGAAGAAAGACATTGGTTATGTTCCAATATGGCTGAAAGCAAAATGATGATATGAAAATCGGTGTGATTAAATGGATATTGTAAAAACAACTTAGGTGGAATTACGAGCTTGTTTGGGACTTTCTTTTTTTAAGGAGACAGGGGACTGAACTAGAATGCAATGCATAGGAGAAGGGAGTCTACTACAGTTAATATATTTTGCCTTGAAAATAAATGCAATTTCTTGAATATTTTCAATAACCCTTTAGGAAGAATAAAGCCTAAGACTGAATAATGTTAATACAGTATATAAGAAGCTGCATTTTTTCAATAGAAATTATGTTATGTTAAAGCTTTCATCCATTATGTTCTTAAGGGTTCCAATGCAGTAAATAGGAAAGTTCTTGAGTGCAGCTGCTAGTGATGTGTCCTTGCTCTATTCCGTTTTTTTTCCGCAAGTCTAAAAGCATTTATTCTGCATATTTTATTTATTTTATTTTAATTAAGAAGACCAAATCTCTTACCCCATAACACTTTCCAGCCCTCATAATGGCAGCGGATCAAATAGTGACAATGAAATTAAAGATCCCAGAATGTCAGAAATAGTCCCTTTTCAGTAGTAACATGGTACTTCTTGAGCATTCCCCAGAGAAAGGACATCTGCCTATGCACCTTTGGGACAACTGTGACCTGGATGATTTCCATAGATGACGTGTACCTACGCAGTGTCATGTCACTTTTGTGGCCAAATATTACCTCAAGCTAGAAAGAAATGTTTATTCATACAGGTGTCTTCTATAGTGTCTATTGTGGATCAGAGGTGATGCCGCCAGGTGTTTTTGGATTGGAGATCAAATGAATCCCAGTCAAGATAGCTAAGGGTTTGGGTTGATAGGAGTTTCAGTCCAGCAATATCTATAGGGCTACATTTTCCCTGGTCAACAGTAGCCTCTCTCTCTCTCTCTCTCTCTCTCTCTCTCTCCCTCTCTCTCTCTCTCTCTCTCTCTCTCTCTCTCTCTCTCTCACACACACACACACACACACACACACACACACAGAGAGAGAGAGAGACACACACACACAGACACACACCAAAGGGGGTCAGAATAATGAAAGCAACATTGTGGCACACAACATGAGCTCTGCCCCTTTGGAATGTGGGTCGTGATGTCACTCACATGTCGGAAGGCAGCAAAGCTTGCAATGCTTGACTCTGCTTTCATCATTCTAACGAAAACAGCAAGCATTCTTGCATGATGCTGTCCGCAACCCTGTCCCGGCCTATTGAAAAAAATGACTAATGAAGATATTGCTTTGCATTATGACTGACAGTTTTCTCCCTTTTCTTGTCACAAGAAACGAACCCTTTTATTACTTTAAGGTTATATGTGACAAATACTTTTCTGAGATGTAATCCACAAATTGTGTTTCTTTAGAGGAAGTGCGCTTCCTGTAGAGTGTTTCCCTTAGTCTGTTATTTCCCTTCATTGTAACCTGTATAACATTTTCTCCCACCTCCCCAAAAAGTGTGTAAAGATATCAGCCCCATTGACAGATTGTGATAATAGGGAGTTGGGGGCTTGTTAGCTTCCAAAAGTACTAATCCTGTTAGGGCACAGATGAAAGGTTTGGAGAAAATTGATAAATCACAAAGGATATAAATCTGAAAAGAACATTTTTAGAGAGCCCTGGTTTGCTGCACAGTGAACATGGGGAGATGAAAAAGCAATTGCAAGGCTGCTCATTATGCACGGCAGGATGGTGGTTGCCTGGCACTCTAGGAAGAATATTCTCTTGATTTCAGTCGAACTTAGGCTAGGGTGGGCAATTGGAGTGAGCGAGCCTGGGAGACTAGGCCCTACAGCTCCCTCATCAGCAAAAGACAACCGGTAAAAGAGTACACATACAAGGATACACGTAGAAGGAAGGTTGTCACTTTGGGTGACAATATCCTATGGTCTAATTGTCTCTGTCAGACTCTATCTTTGTGTGTGTTTTAAAAGAAAATGTTTAAAATATTCTTCGTTTCTTCCAGAAATCTCAAGTTCAGTTAAAAAGAATGTTTAACTCAAAAAACTGAGTTTTTAAATAATTTGAAATTATTTCAATTCCAAATTTGCAGAGAAGTATATATCACATCATTTTCTTCCACTGTGTTAGTGGAAGCCAATCAGGTAAAAAATAAAATAATCTCTCTTTAAAATGACCAACGTTAAGTGTTATCCTAAACACTATAAAACCACAAACAGGCTGATTTATTTGAAAAAAAATCATCATTGTTTTATTAAATCTTTTTTTAATGAATGTATATCTCATCTGCAAAATAGATTTCTAGAAGAATCAGACAGGGCAGACTATTTTGATTGAAATTTACTGGACTTTACTGGAAGAAGAAATCAACTGTAAAATGATTCTGATAAACCTGATATGTGAATCTATGACAATAATGAGTATGACGGGTCATCTTTTAAATACAGATTTCTATTAAATCCAAATTACCTAATTTGCATCCATTTATATTATATCTGTAATTATGTAATTGACATAAATGGCATATGCAGTAAAACTTCAATTCACTGTAATGGACAGACAATTAATTTAGCTAACAAACTATTTATTAAATGGAATGAAGTTAAAGCTAAACATTTCTTGTTGCATCTGGAGTCATTACTTAGGTCCTTTACTTTCTAATAGATTAATCTCATGATTACTGGTCTTAAGGTAAAGTTACTGAGATTTCCAAGGGAATGATGCAGAAACATCTTGATTCTGTACTTTAATAAGTATATAAAAATAAAGCTTTTCTCACCATGAAGTTAAACAGGCAGAAACAAAACTTAATTGCTTGAACTATTATATGAACAAATTTTCTCTCTCATTAAAAATAGATAAGTTCACAGTTGCTCAATATTAATTCTCTTTGAGTTCCTGTACAGGTTATTTCAATCTCTACACAGTAAGGATCAAATATATGGGATTATATTCCTCTGTTGATCTAATTGGGAAAAAATAAGAGATTTATATGCAATGATTTTAAAGAAAATTGCATACTGAAAGCAATCTCCCAGGTGCCATGGTGCTTATACTGAATGAATGAATGAATGAATGAATGAATGAATGAAGACTTCCAGTGATGGACATCTCATACCATATAAAAATTCTCTAAATAAATGTGGTTTCTTAAACTCCTTTGCTGCCTTATATGTGGTCTAAATTGTGCTTTATCCAATAACCATTATTAAACCACAGATTGACATAGTCTTTAAAGATTAATGATCTCTAATCAGTTTGAAGCACTTAGTACCCCACACCTGGCATATAGATCAAAGTGATATTTTAAAAATAAGAATACCAATATATTTTTGAAATTGTTCTTGTTTCAGCTGTAAAGTTTGGAAGAATGTCCAAGAAGCAGAGGGACAGTCTCTATGCTGAGGTACAGAAACATCAGCAGCGGCTGCAGGAGCAGCGCCAACAACAGAGCGGCGAGGCTGAAGCCTTGGCCCGAGTCTACAGCAGTAGCATCAGCAATGGCTTAAGCAACCTGAACAATGAAACGGATGGCACTTATTCAAATGGGCATGTCATTGACCTGCCGAAGTCAGAGGGTTATTACAGTGTGGATTCTGCTCAGCCCTCCCCAGATCAGTCTGGCTTAGACATGACCGGAATCAAGCAGATCAAGCAAGAACCTATTTATGACCTCACTTCTGTACCAAACTTGTTTACCTATAGCTTTTGCAACAACGGACAATTAGCTCCAGGGATAACCATGGCAGAAATAGGTAAGACAATCCTGTCTTCGGTGGTCAGTGTAATTTTCACAATGGTTGTGTGTCTATCCCTCAAGCTGAGAGGTTGCATTTGAAACGGGTTGATCCTGTCTGACTAGGATTGTTGTAGAGTCAGTTTACGGAATTCTAAAATGTTTACATTACTTCAATGGAGCAATTCATGATCTGTTTATGAAGCTGAACACCACAGTCAGTGATAAATCAATCAAATGATAATTACTAAATAGAGAGCTTGTATCAAAAGAGCTCATTATCATGAGGGTTTAATGATCTTTCTGACAACTATACACATTCTTGTCAACAAATCGCTCTGAAAGTGGATCATTAATAGGACTGGCATGAAAATTAATTATAACGCAGAACTTTGTGATCTTGCATTGAAGACTCAAGATTTACATCAGCATTTGGCATAGATGACTTCACACTGTCCCTGTTAATTCGTTGGAGAATTTTATTTCAAGTGTTAGGCATAATTTTTTCAGTTGTGACTCTGATAATTGGTAGTGTAATCTCATTGTTAGGTGTCTTGTATAGGGAGGAAGGTGATGTCTTTATGATGACCAATATTTTCTATTCACAGCTATGTTAGTTTTCAACCAATGATTGTTGGATTTGTTATAACCATAATTCATTCCTCTTGTATGCCATTCAGTAGAATGTGCTTTCTAAAAACTCTTCTCAGGTCAAAGTTGACTTTCTAGCTAGAAAAATACAGCCCTAAATATCTGTTCTGCTAGCATTTAAATACATTTATGAAGAGGAATAAAAATAGACTACTTCTGGGCAATTAGTCTTGGTTGGATTTGGAGATGTACATCTGCAAGTTGAGGGCAAACCGGCATGATCCAAGCTACTTCAAAATTCAATTCAAAACAGATTTGTGCATATTCAGTAATGGGCAAGCATCAAAATGCCTGCAGCTGCTTTTGTTCCTTCCTTCCTTTGGCAGGATAAAATGGTAGACTTTTAGAAGGAATTGACCCTGCCACGTTTCAGCCAGATGCAGTCAAGGACTTCATTAAATGTTTGAAATATTTCCCTGGTGCCTCTTTTAAGGCAGAGATTAACAGGGAAGGGGAAAGGATAGCACAGCAAATTGTTCCCCAAAAGGGCCTATAGAAATAGTTTGAATTGATAAACTTTAAGAGCTTGATTGTCACTCGACCCAGTTCATTATAACAAGTAGGCTGGCCCAGTGTGGTAAAAGCAGGGATGAAATCCAGCAGGTTCCTACAGGTTCTGAAGAACCGGTAGCAGAAATTTTGAGTAGTTTGGAGAACCGGCAAATGCCACCTCTGGCTGGCCCCAGAGTGGGGTGGGAATGGAGATTTTGCAATATCCTTCCCCCAGGACTGGGGGAGGAATGGGAATTTTGCAGTATCCTTTCCCTGCCACACCATGTCCACCAAGCCATGCCCACAGAACTGGTAGTAAAAAAAAATTGGATTTCACCACTGGTAAAAGGCCATAGAGATATGCAGGCCGTGAACAGGTTGGCCCAAAGAAAACGGTATTGGCAGGCTTGCTGTCCTCTTATTCCTAAAAGCAGTGAACATTTTGGCTAGCCCTTATGAATCCTGTCTTTTTGCTTGATTTTAAATTGGTATTCTGCCCTTAGTCACTGAAAGAAGCTGGGCAGCTTTAGAAGTGGGGAAAATATATAAATAAATGTTAATCCATTCACTCATAATTAAGAAACTTACGCCAGCACGGATCATGCAGAATTTAAAAGTAAGATATGGCTCCAAAGGGCTGCTGGATTGGTCAGCTGTGAAACCATATTCAAAATGCTAAGAAACGAAGAGACCTCTAAATTGGCTGACAGGATCATCGCAAACGTGTATTTTAATTCTGTTTGCACAGGAGAGAGCAGAGTTAAGCCTTCTAGCTGGCCACATTAATGAGCATTGAGTACTAAGAAAATGAAAGAAGCCTGAAGCACTGCCACCCATACCACCCCAAGAGAGCTCTGATAGGCAGAGAATTTAATGAAGCGATAAACTCATTGGCCAGTCACTTACTGAATGTCAGGGAAAATACTTGACACACACACACACACACACACACACACACACACACACACACACACCGTCCACCCCCAGTCTTCTCCATATATGGAAGTGAAAAAGCAAAATTGCATTTTGTCTGCAAAAAGCCTCCAAAGCAGCAGAGAAGCCATGGAGTCTGTAACCACTTTGGAGCCATCTGATTCAGTTTGCTACATCAAAGCAGCTCCCACTTCATTTTGTGAATCTGCTTCCATGGGAATTGAACTGCATCTTTGTCAGAGTGAAGCACCCCTTTGAAGCTTTGCATAGCCTTGAGCTCCAGAGCTTTCCTAAAACCACAGACTAATTAGAACAAAGCAATAGCTCTTTTGGGGCTGTCTTCTCAAATCTGCTGGGTCTTGGCTGATTACACTACACAGACTACACCTACCAAACAAAGCCAAAATATAATTTATTTCCTCTTAGCTTCGCATGTGGATATCATAACTGGGCTGCAAAAATCAGATGATCGCTAGCTGGCATCAAAAGGATGGTTAACACTTTTAGTCTTTGCCGCCATGTTGGGATCATCTGATTATTATTATTATTATTATTTTTGGTCACCTGGATCTGGAAGTGCTACTAAAATCCTTAAGCTAACATTTCCCTTGCTTCCATCTCTTGAAACACAGGAGTCAAAAGTGACAGAGCAGCCCCAGCATCTCAAGGCAGCTCTTCTAGTGGTCATCTGGAACTTTGCAGCCCAGATGAGGTAGATCAAGTTTAGCAGTGATGTGATAATCCAGTCTTCATGGTTTATAAACATATTTTAAGTGTGGGGTGACTGTAGTAAATATTATAAATATATACATAAATATAGCATGTGTGGATTCAACCAATTTTCTTGCATTTCTCATCATATTATGGGTTAATACAGTGTTTTTCAAACTTTTAAGATGTGTGGACTTCAACTCCCAGAATTCTGGGAATTGAAGTCACACGTCTTAAAGTGGCTTAAAGTTTGAAAAACACTTGGTTGGTGAAATGTATAAATTGAACTGATGAATAAGAGATTGTACAGTCATCCATAAGAATTGCTAGAATGGAGACAGATTCCATCTCTGTCAACAGTATTTTTCTTAATGGAATGTTGTTTTTTCAATATATCCCAACATCCTGGGACTTCTATGCAATAAACATATAGACACATAGACACTGCTTTAGTGGTACTATCTTATCTATGGCTACTACCTTACTTATTGGTACTACCTTATCATCTAGCTCAGAAGCGCTGCTTCTTGGTTACTGTATAAGATTGAAGGATATAAAGCAAGGGCTTTGATGATTTAAAAAACGGTGACTTCAGGTTGTAGACATAAGCTTGTAGACATAACTCAGATTCTGATGGGTAGACATATGCTGAGCTAAAGTTTGATTAACACAGTTTACTAAATAAACCATGCCTCTTCGCTTGTAGAATTAATTAGCTGAGGTCTATAGCAAAGGTTAAGTTTCACCTAAGTAATTGAGTCCAAGAAATGATATCTGAATTAAGTCATTAAATATTTCTCCTTTGTGTAAAAGTCAACCTGATGAAGAATTCTGGACATCTCAAAATATTGTACTAAAGATTTTTAGTTGATCCTAATAAAGTTTCTGATAAAACACACCCATTCATAACTACAGTCATAAGTCAAGGACTACTTGTATCCCATTCCTTAACAACGTACCAGGATTAAGAGTTAGAATCAAAATGTTTCGAGAAAGATAACAGATCTTTAAACTTATCATTATTGTTTTCATAAGAAACGAGAGGAAGCCAAGTATTGCACTATTTTTCAATCTTATGTTTTCAAAGAGGCTTTGAATGGGGAAAAAAATTAAATAGGAAAGATGGTTCCAGCATGGAGACAGAGTTACTGAGAATGCTTTTCATGTATTGAATTCCTCTTTGCCCAGCGGTTTGTTAAAACCTCACAATGGGACCAACATTAAAAAAAAAAGAAGTAGTAAAAACGGTAGAAAGCCCTGCAGAGAAACTGCGGTTTTAAACAGAGCAAGAAAGAAAGGCAAGCTTCTTAAAATAGTATAGTTATATTAATTTTTTTTTTGTTTCTGGTCCCACTAGTGATAAACAGAGAATGACTCAGTAATTAAGGGAAGAGTGGGTACACAATGGCAACCCTGTTAGCTTGTAGGCTATCCCATGAGAAAGACACTATCACGGGCTGAATAGGTTCTAACCACATTTTCCAGATTGGGATCACAGCACTCAGATCCTTACAGATCGAAACAAAGCTTTCTTATGCTTTAAAGCTGTGGTGCAGCCTTGAATGATCAGCTCACAATGCAAATTACTGCTTTTTAAGCAAACCCGCCAAGCGAAGAATGGGCTACAGGGTTGCCAAAATGCAGAGCAACCAAGGGCCCTGTGCCTTGCTTTGTTATCCTTCAGTGTTTGCAGGTACCCATTTAAAAGAGAGGCCGGAAACGTAGTTTAGTTGTACCTGTATTTTTACCAAACCCTCCTGAATGATAAAAAAAAAAATTCTTTAATGCACTGAATATCACTTAGGCTATTTTCATTTTTCCTGTGTGTCTGTTTGCTCTAGCTGGGGACATGCACTGACAAGAAAACCTGAGCATTTTGCTAGCTTCCTAAAATGACAATATTAGAGCTCCTGTGGCTGTTCACAGAAACAGAGCTGGGTTCCCATAGGAGAGAGATGTGAAGGAGTCAGAGTTTTCACTTTTTGCATTTGTTGAACAAGAAGCAGAGAATCTTCTGGAAATCTGTTCTGATGTCAACGTACCAGGCTGGGCATTCTCTGATTCATGGTCCTTTACAGAACTTTCCCAAGGGACAATCTGTCCCAACTTTGGAGTTTATTTACTAAGTATCACTGAGCTCCAAAATCTCTCTCTCTCTCTCTCTCTCTCTCTCTCTCTCTCTCTCTCTCTCTTTTACTTTTATCCTAAACCTCTTTCCCATACACAAAATTA